ATAGGTAAAAGCAAAAGAGCCTTTATTTTATACAAGTGTACAAACTCGGTCTCTCCACATGTCCAATGATTTGGAATAAAGGGAAAGCCCCCAGCTCAGTTAGAATAGGGTTTTTATAGTAGTAAAGTTGTGGGTGAGGGGTTTCTGAGGTTCAGGACCTTTAATTGGCTGACATTTATCTAGGGATGTCCTGGTGAGTGTGTGCTGGCAGGTGATCCTATCTCCAGCGGTTGGAATGTTAGGCATTTTCTTTGGATGGTCTGTTTTTGGGTGGTGCTCAGGTAATCTCAGCTTGTGGTTCTTCCTGCAACCAGGTATTTCTTCAGGGTTAACTACTGAGACTCAGGACTCTCTTAAATTTATGGATGGCTACTACTCTGGCAGGTGATAATGGTTGGAAGTAAAGAACATCCTTTGGGTGATCTGCTCATATTTAGCTTATCATGGCTGGCTCCTACATTTCCCCTTTCACAAGCACCGATGACAGGACCCAATCTTGGTTCCTGCTTGCCCCTGGTTTTAAGGAGATGTGGAACTATTTAAATAATAAATCCATTAATTGACAACTCCGGACCTACTTTTTTAGAATATCAACAGGCGCTAGAGGTCTTGTCTCCCATGTCTGGGAGTTCTCCCTTGTCTTAGCCTTTTAACCTATTATGGGCAGAGATGTCATGTTCCTTTCCACAACTACTTCAAGCTGACATTGCGGTATTGTTATCCAGACCCAAGCAGTTTGAAAGGCTAGCCAGAGCTGGGGGAAAATTTAGACAATGTGGCATTCATCACCACAGACTCCTAAGAAGAGGCAGGGAGTGTTTATATCAGCTGGACTGGTCCACATCAGCTTTTAGGAAGTCCGGGACTCGCCACCATTCAGAGCAGGTTGTTGTCAGAAACTGATGCTTAGATGTGTCTGCCAGCCAAGTGGAAGCCTATTGAGATAAGTTTAAAGTAGAAACAGAAATAAAATTTAGAAAAAGCAGATATCAGGTGCTTGAATTAAAGGCATATGCCACCAAGCCTGGCTTCTTCCCAGCTCTTTTAAGAGTCTCTGTCACCTAACACTTAAATGGCACCAATGAGCCATAGGCATCATGATTGTTTGTGGTAGAATGGACTTTGAAACTCCACAGAGTTATAACAAAAACATGGCTATCACTAGTGCATTCACAATAAGCTAAATTTTTATTAGGAGGCCACGGAATGGGGCAGAACCAGCTGCCAAAGTGGCAGCTTTAATCCTAGCCATGTTGTTTAGCAGATTAAAGGCTCATGTGGTCAGAATAAGATAGAAATACAGTAAAGACAGATTGAGATGGGAGAAAAAGGCTTTTAATGATTTACAATGTTTTCTAAAATGTAAGGAAAAGGATAAAGTCTTTTAAATCAAAAGTGAATAGTTGGGCATAATGGCACACACCTTTAATCCCAGCGCTTGGGAGGCAGAGGCAGGCAGATCTAAGTGTAAGGCCAGCCTAGTCTAGAGTGAGAGCCACAATAGCCACAGAAACACAGAAAATCTATCTTAACAATCCAAAATTTGAAAATAAAAATATAAGAAAGTAAAAACCACGTAGAGATGGAAAATGCACTGAGAATCTGGATGGTTTGTTACTGTTTTGTCTTTGAATTGTTTCACTGCTGAGAATGGGGGAACAGCTGCTAACAGATGTTTGAGTAGAAGCCTGCTGGATTAATTCAACCTGTATTTTAGAAAAAAGACTTGACTTCAAAGTTTTAATTAAAGGATATGTTACTTTGGAGAAGTTTTGCTTTTGTTTCCACATGAAGTGAGAGGCTGTGGGTTCATTGAGAGTTTAAAAAAAATAAGGATTGTTGAAGACAGATCCCCTGAAATATCTCATAGGGACAGATGGCCCAGATGATCCAACTTTCAGAGTATCTGTTTCAGTTTCCTCTTCGTTCTACATCCAGAAGGGTTTCAAGACTGCTGTTGAGAAGATTCAGCCTCATAGACTACTCCAGTCAGGACTTGACCATAATCCTAAATTTTCTTTGAGTTCCAATAAGATTATCATCACCTCCAATCAGAAGGAAGCAGCCTAGAAAACTATGTGAGGGACTCGGGAGACAGAGATGTTAGAGTTTTTAGGAGAGTTTAGGTTCAGTTTTCAGGCCAGGTACATGTTGTTACACCCATGGTACCAGCCCAGCCTCATGCTAGCCTTTGCTTCCTGTTTGATGTGTGTTCTCATGATGCTGTCCAGACTGGTCAGTCCCTGGTGGGATCTGCTGCCACCATAGTCTTGCCCTCATCTTCCCAATTACCTGGGACCACACTTAGACAACCACACCTGAATTTGACCATCCAAAGACACAAAACATTGGAATCATCTTTGAGATGGCTCCACAGGTGAAATCACCGTCTGTGTCTTTGTCGTGACTTCACCTCAAGGTGTCTCCTGATGCTTATGGAGTGCCATGAGATGTTTAAATGCAAGTACAGACAAGAATAAGAATAATAAATAAAAAACCCTAATTTATATTTACTTTTTTAAAATCTGGATTTAGGAGCTGAAGATAGGGCTCAGTAACCTTCTCCATCACTACTCCAGAGTATCCTATGCCTTTTTCTGCCTCCATGGGTACTCTATGGTTACTTCTGGTACTCCCATGTATTGCCAACATTTTTTCTTGGCTCCCATTATTCATTTTATTTATTTATTTATTATTACTATTTTTGGTTTTTTAATACAAGATTTCTCTACAGCTTTGGAGTCTATCCTGGAACTAGCTCCTCAAACTCAGAGCTCCACCTGTCTCTGCCTCCAGAATGCTGGGATTAAAGGCCTGCCCCACCACTGCCAGGCCCCATTATTTAGCTTACATCCTCCAGGCTGTGTGCTGAGCAGATCCTATCTGAATCACCTTCCACTAATTGAGAAGCCAAGACTGTAGCTCTGTGCCCACCCATCCCCCACAACCTCCTCCCTTCCTGCCCTTCCACCACAAAACCCTCCCTGCCTGCACACAGTACCTTTGATATGTTTTAGATTCCCCTTTTGATTGCACAACACACACACAGGTTTAGGTTTTTTGAGACACATTCTCGTTGTAGCTCTCATCGTTCTGGAACTCATTCTGTAGGCCAGTCTGGCCTTGAACTCAGAGTTTGGGGATTAATGGCATGAGCCACCAATTCCCAGCTAGTCTTATGCTTTTAAAGCCTTACAGTTGTCCAGATATGGTGGTAAACACCTTTAATCACAATACTCCAAAGCCAGAGACTGGAGGATCTCAAAGAGTTCAAGTCTGCCTGGTGTGTACATGATGAGGACACACCACCAAAGTCTAATTAACCAGAAACAAACTTTATTCCAGAAACTGAAATCTGGGAAAAAATAAAAATAAAATAAAAATCTCCATGGGACATCAAAAGCTTATCAACTAACTGCAACCACTGCCAGAGATGGATTTTATGGCTGTGGCAGAGGCTGAACCCATCTTCTTATAGTAGGGGCACCAAGCATTAGGTCTGAACAAAGGAATTTTTACATTCTCAAGGTAAAATTCAGGTACAGATTGTGTTACTTTACAATCTCCATGAACAGTTTTTCAGTTAACCTAGTAACCTGTTGTCTCTCTTGATACTTATGGGCAGTGTTTACTGAAGCCCCGTGGTCTCCCCTTTGATGCTGCCAGTTTTACATAGCAGGGATAATGTACAACCCAGAGGTCATAGATCTTAACCTATAACCTAAAAGTTGACTCAGCTCATATCCGTAGCCTAGCTCTCAGTTTGCAGAGAGATGCTTTGGCCTTGTGAATAATCATGGGTTGTAAAGTGAAATCACCTGCTGTTAATAGTTAATCCTCAAGCTGCTGAGGAAGCTGCTGATGGTTTGTTCTCATTCTCCTAGACTTATAACTTTTTATTTCTTTGTTTTAATTGTCTTATCTTTGAATCTACGTTTTTATTTTCTTATTCTTGGACTCTTCGGTACATAGTGAGCTCCAGGATAGCCAGAGCTACATAATGGCATTCTTCTCAAAACATAACAAAACACCAAATTGGATGAGAAGGTAACCATGGCAGTAGTTTTAGTTTTTTTCATTGGTTGATCCGATCCGATCCAATCCATCTACACCATCTAAATCCCAAAAGAAGTAGGCGGGGCCTCAGTTGTTCAGACTGAATTTTGGCTGGGAGGGTGTGGCTACAAAGGGGAGGGTTCTGTGGAAAGGTGTTTGAGGGACAGAGCTGAGAGAGAAGGCCTGAGGCTTGGGGGCTGGAGTTCTTTGAAGTCACTGCCTACCCCTTTGGAACTGGAGATCTGTTATCAGTGTTTAGATCAGGAAAGTCCCTTAGCTCCATCAAGAGACCCTATCTTACCCAGAAGAGTCTAGAGTTGGGTTCGCCTCCAGATATCATTTATTTCTCTTTTAGTTTGTTGATTTTTTTTTTTTTTTTTTTTTTTTTTGAGATAAGGATTTCCTACTTAACCCTGCCTGACCTGGAAGAGATTCTGCTGGATAACAAACAGCCAGGGAGTTTTGTTTATATCAAAGTCATTATTTGAGTCTGTTTGTAGACTTCCTAAGTTTTCTAAATGGTGTCTTTGCTTCCATGCTTCCTCAGGATCATTATCCCTGAAAGCCAGTCAGGATGGGTGACCAGGCCCCACCCACACTCCTACAGCTGGCACTACAGAAGCTGTGGAAGGAGGAGGCCTTGCTGATTTCTAATCTGGAGGACATTCCTGTGGGGCTGTTCCCAACAATGTTTAAGGATGCCATAACTGACAAACGTACAAACATTCTGAGGGCCTTGGTTCCTGTCTGGCCTTTCCCATGCCTTCCTGCCGGAGCCCTGATAAAGGACCTGGAGACTTTGAAAACTCTACTTGATGGACTAGATGCATTGATTACAGAGAAGGTTCATCCCAGGTAAGCAAGCAGGACCCAGGTACAAAGAGGAAGGCTCTGCAGGTGCAGAGAAGGAACTGGGGAGAGGGCCAGTTCTATCTGGGCATACAGTGGCAAATGTTGAGGACCCAAGAGTAGACATAGCCACTGAGGAGTAGGCCTCTCCCTGTCAGGCCCACATACACAGGTGGAATGAGGCAGGGGTTGATGGGAATAAAATGGAGGGAAGTGAAACTGTGCTATAGATGCCTCACTGGCAAAGACCCATTTTCCCTGAGTTGAGACCCTGGGCTTGATCCTAGCTAGGCAAAGGGATAAAGCAAAAACTTGGAAGGGAAAGCAGATATGAGCTGTGGATCAAAAGTAGACTGTACAACGTATCTTGTCTTAACTTCTGGGATTTTCTTTTCCAGTTTTACAAAGAGGACGCGGAAACTCAGAGTGCTTGATTTGACAGATGTGTGCCTTGACTTCCAGAGCTTTAGGGCTTTAAAGCGGTCAGTGAAGATCTGTCCTAAATTTGGGGTGAAGAAGCGATTTGTGGTAGTAACTGATATTGATGTCCAGAAGGCCAGTTTCAGTGAATGGCAGACATACTTGTTGCAGTGGGCCCAGCAGCGAAACGATTCTGTTCATGTATGCTGCCGAAAGCTGAAGAGTTGGAATTCACCTGTCTTCACTGCCGAAAGGATCTTCAAAATGTTAGATGCAGACTGTATCCGGGAGCTGCAACTGAGTTTCTGGCAGCTTGAATTCATGCCACCCCTTTTTCCTTACCTGGGGCAGATGAGAAATCTCCACACGCTTGTGCTAGACAGAATTCAGAAGCCCTTCAGGTTGGCTGCTTCTGTAGTGCAGGAATTGATAAGCCTGTTGTTTTCTCAGTTCAACAAACTCCCCTGTCTCCAGAATCTCTACATAAGTTATTGCTACTTCTTGGAAGGCTGCTTTGAAGAGTGGCCCAGGTAAGGAAGGATGGAGAGGGTTCTTCAAAATATAGGAAGCAAATCCTTTTCTTTATAGGTTAGTATGATCTTGCTGGCCTGACCACTGTGAATACAGAAGTGGCGGAGATGTAGAATATCCCAGCAAATGAGCTCTGTGCTCAGACATCTGTGAACAGGCACCAGCATACCTGCAATTGCTCATGTGTGAAAGGTTGTTAAGAGTCCAAAATGGTTGACTGCATGCTAAACATATGATATTAGGTTTGAAGTTGGAGGAATGGGACCTGGCTGTGGTGGGGAAGATAACATGTCAGGGGACCCTTAGGGACACTGCTGGTCTGATGCTGAATCTATTATGAACAGACTAAATTTGGGGAAAGCCTCATCTACCTTGCTTTCAATCCTACCAATCCTCTTCAATACCATTTGGCATAACTAATCCCTTGATCTTTCCCTAGGAGACTGAAGATCCCCTTGGAGACCCTGATCATCACTGGCTGCTGGTTCTCACAGTCAGACTTGGGTTACCTGAGCCAGAGCCTGTATCTTTGTGAGCTCAGACATCTGAAATTGAGTGATATAGAGCTATCTCATTTATGCCTTAAGCCCCTTGTGGTTCTCTTTGAGAGAATCACAAGTACCCTGCAAATCCTGGAATTGGAAGAGTGTGACATGAGGGACCGCCATTTCAATGCCATTGGGCCTGCCCTGAGCCAATGCTCCCAGCTTACCAGGGTCAATTTTTATCATAATTATATCTCTCTGCATGCCTTGAAGAACCTTCTACAGCACACAGCCAAGTTGAGCAAGCTGACCCATGAGATGTATCCCGCCCCTCTGGAATGCCAAGATATCATAACAGACCTTAGAGATAGATTCGAGCAACTTTGTCCTGAGGTGCTAGATATACTCAGGGCCAAAAGGCAACCAACGAATGTTTTCTTTGCTACAAGAACCGACTGTGTCCGTTTTCAACCCTGATCCTATGACCTGGAGGCCAGACATTACTTTTTTCCATGAGTAGGATAAGGTTGCTTCTGGTACTGGGAATGGAAGCCCTAGTGTAGGGAGTGTATGTTCACTATGTGGATCCTTGATTGCATATAATAAATGTCCTGAGTTTGTGGGGTTGCTAGGGGGTCTCCATCAGCACACAGCCCACTTTTTCCCAGCATTTCAATACCCATTTCTTTTCCCAGCACCCTAATAAGGTCAGTGTTAAAACAGTACATGTCATAGAACCTTATGCACAGGTATCTCATCTAGAGGATCTTGGAGCACATGGCTCACAATGTTCAATATATTGAACTGGCAATGGTGTGCAAATGGTTCATGGTTCAGATCACAGGGACTGTGGCTGACATGGAGAACAATGGGATGAGGGGACAGGAGACTGGTAAAATAAGAGACAACTGCGCATTTGTAAATGATTTGACATCAGAGAGACAATTATACAATTCTAAATGTTGCTTTGGTGACTCCTAAGGTGCAGTGGGAGCCTGGAGGAGTACTGTCTGGTTTGTTTCATAATTAAGTGATTGTTGGGGATGCAGAAAAGATGTTTTGTGTTCATAGAGTATTAGTAATGTCAGGAATTTATAGACTGTCAGTTGTAGCACAGGCCTTGGCAGAAGCAGGAAGGTCTCTGAGTTCAGGGCCAGCCTGGTCTACAGAGCTCCAGGACTGTTGGGACTGTTACATTGAGAAACCAAAGGAATGCCAAGAATCTTAATCATGCAGAGGTGTCTCCTCACTGGAGATAAAAATCATTGCCTACATTCCATCTAGAAAACCCAGAATGAAGTTTCTTAAGGACCTGGTGAGTTTTGCTATTTGCAGACATGCTGGGATCAAAATAAGCTTTAAGTGGTTTTTCCTTACTACACCAAGGACATGCTTTTAGTGTAGTTATAATTTTAAATCCACTACTCATGGGGAAGCTCTTCAAATCTGTTTATCTGTTTACATTTCAAATAGAGGCCAACACCATTTTCAATTATTTTTGGTGTATTTAATGCTCAAACCAAAGATGTGTATGAGAATGAATCATTCTATGGGTGGCTGGAGCTCCAGAAGCAAGTTTGTCCTGGATGTTCACACAGCTTGGGGATCCCATTCTATTTTTTTTGTCTTTTTTTAAGACAGTGTCTCCCTGTGTTGCCATGGACAGTGGATTACTTCCAAAATCAAGGACAGAGGGTCGTCATTAGACACTCACTTAAGATGCAGCTTGTACCCTCTTCTTGCTGTATGTAATTCTCCCCCAGGTGTACCTGCGCTTGGAAGGGGTTAGAGAATGTGGGTGATGGATCTATGGAGGACGCCATCTTTGTCACAGTAGGGAATTCTACATGATGCTTTGTCTATAAAGATGCCCAATATACACAGTGATTCAACGAGCTATACATGGGAGAATCATTACTTTGGTCGTTTCCTGAGGTAAACAGACTTCTTTTGTATCTGAAATTACTGCTAATCTAAATAGTCAAAATAGTGTGTTAATTCAAGTCCGCTTACGTGACAATTTACCACACCCTGAATAAATGTGATTTTCAAAGCAGGTTTAACAAGTGTCTGAACTCATAGCTCCTTACAAACCCAGGTCAGAGGCTTTCAATGGATCACATGTGCACTCAGATGAGATGTTCCCCTCCATGGAATTTAGGGTGCAGGTTGCTATCTAGGCCAGATCTGGTAAGTCACTCATCCCATCAGGATGTCCCGTATGACTGTGTTCAGCAGATGAGACTGGGAAAATTAGTCCCCGTATGACCCAGAAAATTCTTTATTTAAAAAATTGTATTTATTAGTGTGTGTGATGGGGGTAGGCACTCATTGTGTACAAATTTTCCTTTGCAGCTCTTAATTTTCTTTCTTTACTCTGTATGTTTAGTGTTTTATGTAGTGAAAGAATTTTTTTTGATCCAGTCTATTTGGTGTTCTCTAATCTTGTTTTTTCATGGGCATATCTTTCTTTAGGTAAGGAAAGTTTTCTCCTATGGTTTTGTTAAATAAATTTTCTGTGCTTTTGAGTTGAACTTCTTCTCCTTTTTCTATACCTATTATTCTAAGATTTGGCCTTTTTATGTTGTCCCATATTTCATGGATATTTTGGCTTAAGCTTTTGATAGATTTAATGTTTTCTTTAACCGATGAGTCTATTTCCTTTATTTTATCTTCAGTGCTTGAGATTCTCCTTCCATTTCTTTTATTCTGTTGTTCATAGTTGCATTTGTGGGTCCTGATCTTTTCCTCATGATTTCTGTTTCCATAATCCCTTCAGCTTGTGTTGTCTTTATTTTTTCTATCTCAGTTTTCAAGTCCTGAATAGTTTCTTTTATATGTTTGAGTTCCTTTTCTTGGTTTTCTTTAAGTGATTTGCTGATATCTTCCAATTTTTTTGTTTTTTCCTCCATTTCTTTAAGGTAATTTCTCATTTCATCTTTAAGAATTTCAAACATTCTCTTGAGGTTAAACCATTTTTTTAGATCATTTTCTTTTGGTTCACACATTTGGTTGTTCAGGTTTTACTTTCATAGGGTCTTTAGCTTTTTCTGGTATTGTGTTGCTCTTTGTGGTGTAGCATGTGATCTTACATTTTCTACTCATCTTTTCTTCTAATAGGTGTAATTGGGGCTGTCTGTTACTCTGGTGATTAATCTTCTAGGTGCCAGTGGATCCAAGGCTCAGATGGTTGTTCCTCATGGTACAGTCAGTGCCAAAGTCTTAGTTACCATTGGTCACTCTGTGTTCCTGGAGGTCGATCTGCACTCCAGAGCTTTCCTCCACTCCCATGGAGTTTGCTGCCTCAGACCTGTGCTAACCAACTCTTCAGCTTTCGGCAGCATAAATAACAAAATCGTTTTGCTGCTGGGCCCATGAAACAAGTATGTGTGCCATTCACTGGAACTGGCCTTCTTGACATCAATATCAGTTACTACCACAAATCGCTTCTTCACCCCAGATTTAGGACAGATCTTCACTGACTGCTTTAAAGCCCTAAAGCTCAGGGTATCAAGGAACACATCTGTCAAATCAAGCACTCTGACTTTACACTCCTCTTTGTAAAACTGGAAAAGAAAATCCCAGAAGATAAGACAAGATACGTTGTACAGTCTACTTCTGATTCACAGCTCATATCTGCTTTCCCTTCCAAGTTTTTGCTTTATCCCTTTGCCTAGCTAGGATCAAGCCCAGGGTCTCAACTCAGGGAAAATGGGTCTTTGCCAGTGAGGCATCTATAGCACAGTTTCACTTCCCTCCATTTTATTCCCATCAACCCCTGCCTCATTCCACCTGTGTATGTGGGCCTGACAGGGAGAGGCCTACTCCTCAGTGGCTATGTCTACTCTTGGGTCCTCTACATTTGCCACTGTATGCCCAGATAGAACTGGCCCTCTCCCCAGTTCCTTCTCTGCACCTGCAGAGCCTTCCTCTTTGTACCTGGGTCCTGCTTGCTTACCTGGGATGAACCTTCTCTGTAATCAATGCATCTAGTCCATCAAGTAGAGTTTTCAAAGTCTCCAGGTCCTTTATGAGGGCTCCAGCAGGAAGGCATGGGAAAGGCCAGACAGGAACCAAGGCCCTCAGGATGTTTGTACGTTTGTCAGTTATGGCATCCTTAAACATTGTTGGGAACAGCTCCATAGGAATGTCCTCCAGATTAGAAATCAGCAAGGCCTCCTCCATCCACAGCTTCTGTAGTGCCAGCTGTAGGAGTGTGGGTGGGGCCTGGTCACCCATCCTGACTGGCTTTCAGGGATAATGATCCTGAGGAAGCATGGAAGCAAAGACACCATTTAGAAAACTTAGGAAGTCTTTCTTCTTTCCATGTGAGGACCTCTCTGGGCAAGATGACTGCTATGGTGATTACTGAAAACATTCAAGGGCCTGCCTTGAAGATTTTCACTCAGGATTCAAGAGGAGAAACCACAATAGCATAGGAACTAAAGTCTGATGACTGTAGAAAAAGAATCTTTTCTCACAAGGTCTTTCCATTCTTGTGATCTTTATTTTTTTTCTTCCTAATCATTTATAATTTCTTTCCTCTAGTTCTATCTCATTTCTAATTCCAATTCTCTATTAGAATACTCAGTTCCCATTCATTCTTGTTCTAATTTCTCTACATTCTTCTCCATCTTATTTCATCTCAATCTATGTCTTCTGCCGTTAGAAATTTCCAAGCATGCATTCACTAGCAACTTGTGAATAATAAAAAAATACTACAAAAAATTCTTAGGGGCACAGGCATTCTTTGAAGATATGTAGCAAAACTTATCACCTCATTTGTAGTTAACCATAGCTGTTAACTGTGATGAGGTCCTGGCTGTCTTTTAAAGGGAGAAAACTAAACCATTGAGAGATCTAAGAAAAAGACAAAGGATATGTGCATTATTTTACAAATCTTAGGTGTGATTAATAATATCTGGATATGATTAGTCATTTAGGTGCTACTGGTCTCTTTAAAGACTACAATAGAACATGGACAGACACTTGCAATACTCTCTAAGTCATCATAAATCCTCTTAAGGAAGCCAGGTGATGGTGGCACACACCTTTAATCCCAACACTCAAGAGCTACAGGAAGGCAGATCTCTGTGAGTTTAAGGCCAACCTGGTCTACAAGAACTAGTTAATGGCAGGCTCCTATATCCAGAGAAACCGTGTCTTGAAAAACCAAAAAGGAAGGAAGGAAGAAAGGAAAGGAAGATAGGAAGAAGGCAAGAAAGGAAGAAAAATCCTTTGAAAGTCTTGAGATCCTACAAAGTCATAGACCTGCAATTTCATAAGTAAAATCTGTGAACTTCCTTTGTGATCTTTCCAGAAGGATTCATGTCTGAAGAACTTGTTCTGTAAGGCTAATGATAGAAAACATACTTCCAAGTTTTTCACCATAATGTAGAGGATGTAGTATGTAGACATAAGTAACAAAACAATCCCATACCAGTTTGGAATTATGATTAATAAAAGGGTTACTTATTTAAGGGGAAAACTTATCACTGTCCTAGACAACAGCTCTCTATGCAGCCAGGAATAGTCTAGTAGCCAGAAGCAGAGCCGGAAGAGAGAGAGGGGGGGGGGGGGGCTACTTGATTTTTAAAGTGAAAGAGACCATGCCCAAGTGGCCTGGTATCTTAAAGGCTATTGGCTGAAGAAGCAGGAGCTCCCGCAGCACCTTCCCCTTTTGTTTAAGTAAAAAAGTTCCATATCTAATACAAAACAATATACACTGAGAACAGATATCAAGTGTAAGATTAGAATTACAATCAGCATAAACAGTATTAAGAAAGGAACATATGCTAAATGTTTTAATAAACATTCTATCCTAAGGAGTCTAAGTCTTGTATTGGAAATGGCTTGGCTGGATGATAAGAGGGCAGTATTTACGACTATCTAATCTTCAACCCTATCAAAGGCCTGAGAAGAGAGAGAATATTACTTGAGCAGGTAGGAAGTACAATCAAGTAGCTTCCAAAGTGAGCAATATATGACAGAGACAATTAGCTACCTGAGCAATCACCCAAAGTCTCATTTTGCAACATTGAAGTAACCAACTGTAGCTATGGCCTAGCGTAATTGACAGACCATTTTCAGAGGCAGGGGATTTTTCAAAACTGTCTTATCCTGAGAAGGAAGATGTGACCTACCCTGCCGAAAATGCTACTGAGCCATGTGGCTAACATAGATAAGAATAAGTTATAAGAGTTAATAAAAAGCCTGAGCTAATGGGCCAATCAGTTTATAACTAATGTAGACTCTCTGCATAATTTTCTTTGGGACTTAATGACTGCGGGAACCAGGCAGAACAAGGACAGGGCAGGACAGAAAACCTCAGTCAACAATAGTAGATAGAAGTCAATCTTTTGATTACCTAGAAATGTATGTGTAGCCATAAGTTTGAGATGTAATCATGAGATTACATGTACAAATTACATGAAAATGCATGCTAATGGGGAGATCAGCGCTGTTATTAAAAAGTGATATTACAGATGAAAGCAATTCAGAGTTTTAGAGTCAGTGGTGCTGCTGGCTTTTCCAGGCAGGATTCCACCATCTAGAAGTCATTTCTCAGGTGGGTTGACATCAGAATCATCAATTGCCATAACTTATTTCCTCATGGCCACAATAGCTCATGCTAAACGCTCCTGAAAGGTGATGCTGGAGGCCTCAGTCTTCACATTTTCATCACTGTCTGTTGGTTTTAAAGTCATCCTTCTCGAGGGAGAAATTGAGCAAGGAAGTCAGGACCGCGAGGGGTACATCCACCCACTGAGACGGTGGGACTGATCTAATGGGAGATCACCAAGGCCAGTTGGACTGGAACTGATGGAGCATGTGATCAAACAGGATTCTCTGAATGTGGCTGACAGTTGAGGCTGACTGAGAAGCCAAAGACAATGGGCTGGGTTGTGATTCTACTGCATGGATGGGCTTTGTGGGGGCCTAGTCTGTTTGGATGCTCACCTTCCTGGACCTGGGGAGAATGGGGAGGACCTTGGATTTCCCATAGGGTAGGGAACTCTGACTGCTCCTTGGACTGGAGAGGGAAGGGGAGAGGGAATGGGGGGAGGGGAGGGAAGTGGGAGAAGGGGAGGAGGTGGAAATTTCCAAAAAAAAAAAAATAATAATGTCATCCTTCTCTCTTGGGTGTGAAGCCCGTCAAAAGCATGCTCTTAGCTTCCTGGGCCTGGATGGGGGGGGCTTGAACTTCTCACAGGGCAGGATTCCCTGCCCTCTCTTAAGGAGGGAAAGGGAGGGAGGAGGGTGAGTGGGGGAGCATGAGAGGAATGGGAGGAGGGAAGAACGTGTGGGATTTTTGAATGGAAAAAAGAAAAAAAAAAGTATGCTCTTTCCCAAATACCATATCC